AGAAGAAGAAGAAGAAGAAGAAGAAGAAGAAGAAGAAGAAGAAGAAGAAGAAGAAGAAGAAGAAGAAGAAGAAGAAGACCACCGCCACTATCCTTTTGGTCTAGCATTTTTTGTCTGTTTCTAAATAAACCTCACTCACCTAAGCTCAAGGGTCCCATTTTGCTTTGGCTGGAAAACCATGCTCACTGCATTGGTAACTTAATGAAACTCAGATCTCTGTTGCTCTAGTACTTATTTTAACTCTATAGCTTTTCTCCCCACGAAAGATAACTAAATGTGGGGATTCAGTCATGCACAATGCATGGAATGCTATTGACCCAGCGCCCTTTTATGCTTAAATTTCTTGGCCTACCTGATAATGTTTCACAGATTTGTGGAGAAAAACCCGTCCTTCCTTCCAGCAGTTTCCCTGATTTCCACTTAGTGTCCATAAGACCCGATCGTATTCTTTAGGGACCTGGTACCGCAGTTTGATTCTTAGTGTGCCGACGTGCGGGCCCGACATATGATACCAGAAAGTCATGCAAAGGGCATAATTTTGCAGGTTGATGATAGGGCTGATGAGGCGTACAATTTTGCTTTTCTGGTTTTCATCAACTTGGGAATAAATAAAATTGCCATCTCCTATTGTGACAAAACACTTCATTAGATACAATGACCAAGTTTTGACTCCCTTTAAGCTGATAAACTTCAAGCATTACAACACGAACAGACTTTTCTAAGGAGCTGCAACTGAAAAGCTTACTGAGAAATATCTTGGCATGTATGGGTATGCCTGCCTCACCTTCCTCTTCCAACAAACTGAAATTCATTAAGGCATGAACATTCCTGATTTTCTAAATGGTAAGGCATCATTTTAGTAACAACGTGGAGAGATTCTTAAGAAACAATATGCTGGGTAGTAAGAGTGGAGATATTAAGATGTGTTTCCACTCAGATCAATTCATCCCATCCAATTTTCATTTGTTCTCTATGTATTTCCTGTGCTTTATGGTAGAACCCTTATAAAATATGTACGTATTTGAAATGCAATTTGTAATAAAATGTACTATTTGTATGGAGCTGTATTGAGTTATTGAATGGGAAGCTGCATTAAATAGGTAGAAGAGCAGATAATTTTCTCTCTCACATTGCTTTGGAAAGTGAATGTCAGATTAGTTTGCTTCAAAATGTGGATTGAAGAATACTTTAGCCATAGCTTCGTCTGTACTTTAAAACAAGGGAAACAATTAAAGTTATTGTCAATATTGCCACCAGAACACAAATCCATTTCTTTAACCCAGGTATATGGGGAAGTACAGAAACCCCATCTTCATCAACACCTTCCTTTCATTTGCTGGGTAAAACACATAATTTCTATTTGCACTTGTGTTTGGGTCGGAAACACCAAGGCATTTCTGGGTTGAAAGACTTAGCCAGAGACATCACGGTTGCCCAGGGGATCCCCAGTTGTCAGCTCCTTCCATGTCCCTGTTAATCTGCCCACCAAACTTGCGATTGCATGCTTTAAAGTTGCTTGTTCGGCAGGAGGTAGAGCGAATGACAGGAGCTCACCCACCACACAGGAAGACATTATCCACACAGCTGATCACTAACCCAACATCCTAATCATCACCATACTTCTTTTTTCTTCACCAGCCCCAAATCAAAGAACCAATGGTTGGGATAGGGAAGGAATAGGCAGGAGGGGTTATGGCTACCTGGTATATTTCCAGGCCTTAAAGAAATACTTTAACTGCTGTTTGTATATATTCCAGCTCAGTTATATTTGATGGGATTTAGCTGCTGTATGTGAGGGTAGATTTTCCACCCCAATTCTGTTTCTCTGTATTCCAGCCTGCAGTTTTTGGAATGAGCCTTCGCAGCTCTTTGGTACTTAACCAATTCATTTATTCATTTCCATACATAGTCAAACCATTTTTCAAGAGAGAACATGTCAAATGGCTATTCTATGTAAAGAGGTGCAGGAATAGCAATTGTTCTTTTACATAGAGGCACTATGAAGCTGAAGATAGTGAAAAAGGATATCAAGTATATGGTGTGTGTGTGTGTGTGTGTGTGTGTGTGTGTGTGTGTGTGTAAAACTCCTTATGTATCTGTTTTCAGATTATGGCTTAGAAATGTGAAAAGCATAGAATATCTGTTCCTAACAAAATCTCATTTGAGAGATATAATTCACCCTTCCCCAACCCTTCAGTGAGAGGACAAGTCATGCTTGTCTCTAGACACTCATGGCAAAGTTCAAATATTTTTCATTTCAAGAATATTATTGCAATTCTGGGTCAAGAACTCTGCCTTTTTTGTCTTAATTACAGCTCAACGTATGCATGCCTTTTAGATTCTGTCAGTCCTTGGCTAATGTGGCTTTTAACCTCCCTTCAATGTCAGTTCTCACTGAGTCATTTCATTTTACTTTGCATCAATTTTTCTCATTATTACAGCCTTCATTTCAGCTAACTGCCTTTTGCTTAATTTGATGCCGTTTATTTGTACAGTGCCATTCATAGTCAAAGTATTTTAAGTTTTTTTCCTACCCCTTAAAAACTAAACCGACTTGTCTCAAGATTCAATTGAACTGTCTCTAAATTTAAGGAGCCCAATTTGCTTGTCATTCTCATTAAGTAAAATGGAGATGGGGGTAGAAAATGGAAATGGGAAAGGAAGGTTCATTGCTAGTACTTCTGACTATCTACATAAATGAAAAAATGGAATGAATAATTGAAATATGGGTCACAGTTACCCTTTGTTCAAAAGGTTTCTGCCCTTAGGAATAAAAGCAGCTAGAAGGCCTAACATCTCACTATATGAGGGTTTCTATCTAATAATAAAGCTTCTAAAAACATTTTAGAAGTACCTGAAGTTAAGTGATCTTGCAAGTTTAAGAAAATACACATACACTTAAAAGCACCAGGTTAACTGTGCACAGTAATTAAATCTAATAATTCTAGGACAGGATTTGAAATGGCACCATTATTTTCCATCAAGGCAAAGCAGTATTGACATACAGATACAAGGTACAACCATAATGGGGCCCGCCCAATACAGCTGAAACAGTTATCAAACTGGTCCAGTCACATGGCCCAACCAATTTTACAATCCTTTTTTCCAACAGTTGTTAAGTGAACACAGCAGTCATAAAGGCAAATGCATCAGTTGTTTAAGTGAGCCCATTGTTCGTTATGGTTTGGTTTTGCTGAAACTGGAAGGTCTGGTTTTCAGCAAAACCGTCATGAAGAGAGGTTATGTGACTGTGGGATGCTGCAAATGATTGTGTTTTTGCATGCTTGAAGTGCAATCATGTGCCTGGTGGAGAAGAGCAATCAATGGAACTTTGTACCTGGATTTTAAGTCCTGTTTTGGATCTGTTGTAAGTTCACATGGTCATCAATCAAGAACTATCTGTAAATATTAGTCCTGACAGATCTTTTATTTTAAACACAATATTTATTTTTTCCCACTTATCACTGGATCAGTTGTTAATCCTACTTTACCTGTGTGGTCCTGAATGGGTCCTGTTTTGCTGGTGAGTACTGCCCATCTCAAATCCAGCTGGGCATCATGTTCCCAGCGACAGATTGTCTTTTGAGAACTGTAGCCAAATCCACAGTTGAAACCATATGCCGGAAGTTCTTCAGTAATGGAATAATGGATGGCTACAAGAAAACAAGATGTAATTCATGAAATTATTACTGTACTTAACTTCTTTTCAGAAACATAACTCAAAGATAATTCTAACAAACTGTCAATAGTTCTTTTGATTGCTACTGCATTGACTTACATGCAGTGATTGGCATTAAATTGCAACTGTGCTGGAGTGGGAAAGGAATCAATGAGTTTTCTACTATTTTTTAGCATTCCCCTATGGCATTGGTCTGAATCATTGTATAACATGGGAACTACAATGACCGCAAAGCCACCATGGCAGAACAGTAAACCTAAGGTCTCACTCAACACAGAAGGCTTTCAAGCACTGTCAAATGGGTTTGCCCCATGTTGAAATAAATAGTCATGCTTATGATAATCTAAAGCCATAGTTTTCAACTTAAACGTCTGTACAATGGGTGGATTTCCTGAATCCCTCAACCAGCATGAAGTTCACCTATCTTAAATTTGCCAAGGTTGAGAAATACTGATCTAAAGAACCTGCTCTATGAGACTATTAAGTCTGAAAACTTACCTAATTCTGCATGGTTCCTCAATTTCCCGTTATACCAAGGATATGGGAGCATCATGGCCAGGGGAAACTGCTAGAGCTGAAATGCTTTCATATCATGCTCAAAAGGAAGAACTGGGAAATAGATTGCAAAGACCTCTTCCATTTACATGGCAATAAACTATGGGGCAAGTAAGGCTTTTCCCCAGTTACATCTAACCATGGTATGAAGTAGATCCTACCTTGGATGCAGACACATAAAATATAGAACCTTTGCTTTAATTGGGCCTGAATAGAAGTCATAAATGGGGCAGTAAATGTTAATCTGACATATTTTCTTGTCTGCTCACAAAATGGTAGATGGTACCAATACTGAGACCAGGATTTTACTTTAATTCAGAAGATTCTTACAATAAATATAAAATTGAAACCAGAAGTTTTCTCAGCAAAAATCTTATTTGTGTAAAGATGTAAAGAACGCTAATTCTTACAAAGGAACAGCACATGGTAAAAGTGATTTGAGTTAGCAGAGATGGAGAAACTGACTGTTTTAATTAAAGAAAAGAATTTATCTAGTTTTGTTTCTACTTGAAAATTGATTTTTGCTTGAAATGGAAAAAAAGTGAAACCTGGATTTTAGGTTTTGATTATTAAAATGGTTTTATCATAGAAATAGCTTGACGTGATCTGTAAAGCAAAAGTTTGAGGTTGTATTGTATTTATATTTTACTACACTGAAAAAAGTCAGAACTCACAATGTTTTTCTCTTTCTGAACTTTTTCTTTCTCTTCGTTTTCTAAGTATCATTTTTTTCTATATTTTTATCTTCTGATAAAAGTTAATAAAAGTTCTTTTAAAAAAGAAATAGTATATTATACCATAACCTAGCCATAAGGAACAGCCCACTATCATCTATGTGCATTTTTCGTATGTAAACTGGATCTGCTAGTAAATATTTTTTTTCTTACTTGTAATTTTATTATAAATATGCTATGGCTTCTAACTAGGTTTTTTCTCATTTCATCAGCTGCATAAATGTAGTTCATAGATTTTATGAAACTAGATTAAACTCTGAAGCTGGCCTGACTGAGGCCATTTTGGAGGCTTCGGTGTTGCCACAATGGTGCTGAGGAATAGAGATAGCTGGGGTTTTGTAGCCAAAACAAAATAGTTTCCCCTCCCTTCTTTGGAGGTGGACCGAAATCCACAATCGTGCACGGTTTCAATCCATGCTCACCACTGGAGCACCCCGAGCCGCTTGGATTCCAGGCTGAAGACACCCTGTAGAGGTGGTGAAGAAGGGGGAGACCGCCAGCGGGATTGAGGAGAGCCACATCTCTCCTCCTTGGCTGGCCATTACTCCGTTTCCCAAAGGCGGTTGCAGCAGTGGTCAGAAATGGCCACCTCAAAGAGAACCGAACCAGACAAGATTGTGCAGGAGGAAGTTTACAAGAGAAAGTTTGACTGACCGGGTTAAACAGAGAAAACATCTATTTAAGGTACCTGGAACTTGAATTACAAAGACTAATACCATTCCTAAAAAAGATTTTTAAAGCGGCGAAAGAGAAAGGAAAAAGAATTGTTTTTTTCTCTCTCACATTGACAGTTTTAATTGACTTGGAATGTTAAGAAGAAGAGATTTGAACAAGTAATTGATATTAATCCACTTTGACATTAACAGGCTATTTCTAGCTGAAAATAAAGTGTCAAAGGGATAAAGATTCTTGGATAATTTAAAAATTTCAAAAAAGAAAGGAAGCAGAGGAGGAAAAAAAAGAGGGTGGAATCTGGAAAAATGGAGGAGACCACCTGGAAGTAAAAAGAATCGATAGTGGAATTTTAACAAGACCTGTAAAGGACACATTGTAGCTGAAACTTTGTTACAAGATAACAAAGCCCTGGAAAGAGAAAGTGAGAAAAGAAGCAAGAAATCTTTGGATTATTGGGTGATTCCAGGAATTTTGGAAGGTGGATCCTAATGAAACGAAATAAAATCAATTGGGGGTTGTTTAAAAATCTTTAAAATGGCATCACTCCTTGAAGAGCTAAAAAATGAGACTTAAAGAACAAAAAAAAGAGGCACAAGAGGGAAGAGGATCTTTTGGCTTCGTATTTCAATTTTTAGAAATGGAGATTCTGAACTATGAAAAACAACAAGAAATGCTTGTAGAACAAGAAGGGCGGGACAAAGAAGAAGCCATCTTTAATGACCGAGCGATTTTAAGCTGGGTTAAAAAAGGGAAAGGGGGGAAAGGGAGTTAAAAACTTAAGATTTAAAGCAACAACCAAAAAAATAGAGTAATTTGAAAAGTAACTATAACATTAGGAAGAAGCAGAAGGGAGGACCACAGAAGGGAGAATCAGATAGAAAAGGGAACAAAAAGGGGAGGGAGAAAAAGAGGGGGAAGATGGAAAGGAAAAGAAGTTATAAAGGACAGAAACAAGATATAGAGAAATGGGAAAAGCGTACAAGAATTAAAGGTATAAGCTTATTTAAAAGGCACAGAGACAATGGTTAAAAATTTAACTTAAAGAAAGGATTCGGCAAGGGTACATGAGATAGCATTGTTATACTAGAAATAGAAAAGAGTTAGAAAATATGATAGATAATTAAAGTGATAGATAAAATTGGCATTGATGTATAATGGAATATTTGTTAGTAATTAAATGAAACAAAGAAGATAAGAGAATAAGGCTCTCAATGATTTTAAAAAATATATAATTGAAAAGAAACATGAAAGATTTTTAATGAAATTAATATCAGTTGAATAATAATTTTAATGACTACTGTTAACCATTGTTTTGTTTTTTTTGTTTTGGTTAAAGACAGTAATGAGTAAAATATGAAATATAGGTGATTAAAGTGAATGACAACTGATGTTATTAGGTAATGGTTAAAAGATGGAAATGTCTTAAATAGAAATGTATAAGATTGCTATCAATATTAATGGCTGAGCTGAACTCAAATAGGATAATTATTTCATTTACTATTGTTATATATGTGTGTGTGTGTGTGTGTGTGTGTGTGTGTGTGTGTGTGTGTATGTGTATATGTGTATATGTATATGTATGGTATTTAAGTTTCGTCGGGTATTTCCCCACGTCTTAATATTTGTGCTTTTATTATAGCGACGT